GCAGGAATAAGGCTGGGTGATAACGCTGCTGGTTCAGCTTCCAGACAGACCATCATTCATGGAGAAAAACCTCCAGCGCTTCATCTCTGCTCGGACCATCTTCCCCTTGAACTTGATAATGAGATATTTTCCATAAGTGCTGGCCGAGATGGCTCTTTTTAAGCTGTATTTGCATCTTGTGTTATTATGGCTTTTTTTTTTTTTTTGCTTCTCTAAGGAAGTTCTTTGCAAGCGTGATGTATGCAAACTGGCTGGAGATAGTTGGGTTTCCTCCTGACGGAGAGCGAATTTACGCTGCTGTAATTATAGCAGTGGCGTGGGAGCGCAGGCAAGCCCGGTTTCCCAATTACACCCTTCTGCTCCTAGAAATCTGCCTTTAATATTTTTTTTTTTTAGAGTGGGAAACCACTCTGAAAAGTTTCCTAACTTCATGGTAGGAAATGATTTGGAGGGGGCAGGATTTGAGCACTTGGATGTTAGGGATGCTCGTGCCTCTGTGTTTGTTTGCATGGACCACCCTCCTCTGCCTCCTGATCTGCGAAAAGCTTCCCGCCGCGAGAAAACAACCCGACTCTTTAAAATTGAAAGGGCTTATTTAAACAATGTTATCTCTCTGGTGAAGGGAGAGAGCATATTGAATGGTTATATTTAGTGCCGGGTGTAGGACAAAGCAGATGCAGAGAGATTTTTAACGCGAGAATGTTAATAGCTTATGCCACACTGCCTCGGAGATGTGTGTATATATATATTTTTATATATATGCAACATGCATGCGCTCAGACACCCGTGTACTCACTGAGGATGAGTATGGGAGTTGAACATCCCTCCTTGATTTGCTTTTTGACCTTTTTCCACCCCGGCAAGGCCGTCCCAGCAGGGCGAAGTGATGCGGTTCTGGGAGCTGGGGATCCCCCGAAACGCGCAGCTGGAGGGATGCGCTTTGGCTTTATGGGGGTGTGCACAGCCCTCCCGTCTTTCTGCTCTCCAAAATGGGATGGGGATGGGAAGGAGAGCACTTATGGGCTTATAAATGGGCTGTTTAACAACCCCAGCAGTGCTTCCCCCCCCCTCGTCAAGCTGCGAGGAAAGCCTACCGCATTACCCAGCCTCTATTACCCACCCTCGTGGGAGCACTGAATTAAAGGAAATATTTTATGATCCTACGCTTCGTTATGTTTTATTAAAAGCAGAGCATCGGCCTCCCCTGCCACATTCATCAGATCAGATCAAAGGCTCTGTTGGTTTTTTTTTTTCCCCTGCTCCCTCCCAAGCTCTTGCTGCCGTCGCTGTTGTTCCCAAAGCATCCAACTGCTTGGGCTGGCTGAAGGGCCGGTCCAGGGTGTCCTGGCAGAGGAGGAAAATATGCAGTGGGGTGAGAAATGTGGCTGATTGGTTTCTCTAAGGATGTTCCGTATCCAAACTGGCTTGGGGATGTGGAGTCGTGCTGCAGAAATAGCCGGTGGATGCAGGAATAAGGATGGACGTGGGAAAGTGGAGTCACGGGGAGATGTCACCCCATGGAAGGATTTGAGTCATGGATGGAGATGAGCACATCCGCATGAAAAGATGCTCAGAAAAGCCTCCCCCCATTTTTCAGCTTTGCTCCATCTCAGGGTGATCAAGCCCGGGCTGGGAGGACCTCCGGGATATCACCGTTTCGGGGGAAAAGACCCCCAAAAATGCTAACATCCCCTCTGCAGAGGTAAAGCAGCGAGCAGGGCTGGGAGTTTGCTATATCAGCCTTCAAAATCAGCGTCAAAAAGACAGACAAATATTGATAGCCAGGCGTATCTGGAAACAGTTTGGAGACAGAAAGGTATTAATTAGCAGTTATTTCTCAACGGTGCAGAGATGGATAGGGATTAAGGTAACAGCCATGTGCATCCTCTCCGTGAGAGTGGAGAAGTAACGGTAAATCAGCGTTATGAATCGGTGCTGTAAGAGGGAGATATGTTTTAATCTTATTAGCGGCGCGGCATTACTGAGAGAGCAAAGGGATTATTAATCACAGAATGTAAATCGGGGAGAAGAGGGTCACTTCAAATTAACAATCCTGCTTTGTCGAGTGAGCGCGGAAAGGGGTAGTGGAGGTGGAAGAGAAAAGGCAGTGGATGGAGGCTGAGTCAGGGGAGAGGTACCAAGGGAAAGGGCAAAAAGCCCGTGCCGTGGGATGAGGGTGAGGTTGGGATGCGGCTGCCCCCCCCCTCGGCCACAACGGTGCCTGGGAGTGCGTCAAGGAGCGTCTCTGGGCCAGTGCCAAAGCCCAGAGCTGGAAATCCCTGTCGGTTGTGTCTGTTATAATATAGGATATGCAGGTATCTGTCCCATCAACCCATCCGTCCATCTCTTCGTCTGTCTGTCCCTTCCTCCCTTCATTCCTCCCTCCCTCCCTCCCTTTTGTCATCCCTCCATCCCTCCCATCATCCCTCCCATCATCCTTCCATCCCTCTATTCTTCCATCTATCCCTTCCTTCATCCCTCTATTTCTCCATCCCTTCATCCCTCTATCCCTCCCTCTATCCCTCTGTCCCTCCTTCCATCCCTCTCTTCATCCTTCTGTCCCTCCCTCCATCCTTTCCCCCATATACAACCAGTAGAAGACACCGGCTGCCTCCGGAGCTCTCCCCGTGTGAGCACAGAGGGTTTTGCAGCAGTGGAGGAAAGGAGCAGGGTGGCTTTGGCTGCTTTTTAGCACCCAACTCAGCTAACGACGGTGCCGATCTGGCTGCCCCAGGCTCCCCTGAGGTCATTTGTGGGGTAAAAAGCCACGCATCACTCCCTAAATTGCAAAAAAAGTGGATTTCGTAGCACTTGGCACCTCTGCCTGGCACCAGGCTTTATTTTCTCCCTTCCTCTGCCTGAGCTTGTGCCTTTGGAGAAGTTGTTAAGAAGGAAAACGGAAAAAAAAAATTTAATAATAATATTACCTTTCCAGTTACATGGTGCAGGAATCGATGGTGCAGGCAGAGATCGCTCACCACAGACACCTGGGAAGGGAGGGGGAGAATCAATGGCTGCCTCGTTTGTCACCAATCAAAAATATGGGATAATTGGATTTCCTGCAAATAGAGAAATAAACGAGCAAATTCATCACCCGGGTCATGGTCACCTGGGCCACCTTGGCACGGCAAAACCCCGCCAGCACCTCGCTGGGACTCTTAACGTGGTGGGAAACCCAACAGCAGCATCTAAACCTAAATCCTCATACTCGTTCATCAGTGAAATTAATTATTTTTCCCCCTTCTGCCCACCCCAAGCCTGTGTATCTCCCGCTAAAGCTGGAAGAAGAGAAGGTTTAGGGAGGACTGGGGGGGTTCAGAGGGAAAATTCAAAATAGTGCTTATTTTTCCGAGGAATAGCACCCCTTGCTGTTACTCCTGGATGGGTTTTTTGCTGGATCTCGGATGGATTTGTTTGCTTTCCCCTTTGCAAGGTGGGAAACTGAGGCACAGAGCGGGACTCGCTCCAAAAGGCATCCTTCGAGCAGCTCCCTGCTGCTTCCAGCTCTGCTAATTAGCCCTGGCTGGGATTATGCTCCAGCCTAGATTAACGCCATGAGTCGTGGTTTCAAATAATTAACTCCCCGTGTCGTAATCCTCACCCCGATGGAGGGCAAAGCAGCGGCAAAACCATTGGCTGCTGCCGGCAGGTCCTTCTCCAGTTCGCCCAAGCAGTGGATCGGGCTCTGCCAAGGGCTCGGCGTCTTTTTTCCCAGGTTTCAACACCTGTATCTAATCCATCAGCTTTGGTTTGGGGCTCTAACAAACCAGGCTGGGTACAAATAATTTGCTTTTTTACTCCTGAATGGCATCTCCGAGATGGTTTTTGCCCGGTGGTGCTTTCGGCGCTGGCTGGAGACGAGACCCTTGATCCCAGGTGAGGTTTGCCATAATCCCCCGTGCTGAGGGGCAGCATCCAGACGTTGCAGCTTCCTGACGCCAACACGGGGAGAGATGCCAGAAGGGATCTGGCTGATGGGGAACAGGACGCGTGATACGGAGGATTCCCCATCTTCTCTCCGCCTGGCTGAACACAGTGACTTAAGGGAT